AAGCTATATATATTTACAGAGCCATTAAAAGTAAGGTTTTTGAATCGAAGTGCTGATACAGGCTAACTATAACATCAGGGAACAAATTGCTAGTTTATGAGGAAGGTTTTAAAGCAATGTTTTATTTAAGAAAGCAAAGATTTCTTCCCCATGTTAATACTGCTACAAAGTTTTGTTTATGTTCTAAAGTGGGGGAGGGAGGAAACCAAAGAGTAATCTGGTTCCAATTACATGCTGTAAAAGTAGGGTAGGCTAGAGAATAATTTGGAATATTTTTTTTATTGGGGTAACATTGAACTTGCCCTCTGTTACAGCCTTTTATTACCTTTCTCCTGTTCCAGCATCTTAAAATATGAATTAGTAAATATAAAAGGCAATTGTTTTTAATCTAGGTATTCAGATATTAGTTTTCCTTTTCAAATGAAGACCTCTTTTCCACAACAGAAAAATAGAGTTGTATTTGGTCTAATCACAGTTAAATAGAGATTAGTGCCACTTAAAATGTATATATTAAGGCTGCACCCACACTGCAGAAATAATCCAGTGTGACGCCACTTAAATTGTCATAGCACAATGATACGGAATTCTGGGATTTGTAGTTTGTTGTGGTACTAGAGCTTCTGACAGAGAAGGGTAAATGCCTCACAAAAATATCTCAGAGTTCTACAATTCACAGAATTCCATAGGATTGTGCTTTTGTGTCAAACTGAATTATTTCTGCAGTGCAGATACACCCCAAGTTGCTTTATATTGAATAAGAGCATTGATACTCCATTCTCTCCTATGATGAACAATAACTTCTGAGGCAGAGAATTCTCTAGTCCTACTAGAGACTTTTTAAATGGAGGTTGAATCTGGGGGTTGAAGTTTTCTACCACTTTCCCTAAAATGCTGTTCTACTCTGACTACCAGGGTCTCCTTCATAGGCTTCACGAAAATATCTTTTTAACATGCCTTACTACTTTATATTCCTTAACTGGAAATGCTAAAGTCTGAAACTAAAGATCATTTATGTAGAAATTGGTTTATGGTACTCCTCTGAAATTAGTGGAACTTGCTACCAAATAAATATTGCTGAGACATAAGGATTTTTTTTTTTACTCTTAACTCATATAACCTGATCCTTGACATCAAGTTTAAAAGGAAATCTCATTTATTTAATTTGTACCTACTGGAAGGTGCTAAAGATTTTCATTCCAAGGTGCTTAATATTTTCTGTGTATCCATCTTTTATCTTTTTGGTAGGAATAAGAAATATTAGGCCCCAAATAGCCATTAGGTAATAGATCAAAGTCACATGTTTCAGTGTTACATGTGGTATGGAAAGTTGTTTTAAGTTTCCAGGAATTTCCCTGCTATAGTTTGTAAAATTATGGTTTCATGTTCGTTTTATTTCCCTTATAGGTTTCAAATGAGCCACTTGTCAGATAATCCTCTGCTCACAAATGCCTTAATAAAAAAAAAACTAAGAATTTAAAACACTGCTCAAGAAGTCATTAACATTGCTCAAGATGTCATTAAAAATGTAAACAGTGATAAGCTATTTTTGTTAATGAATTGGGATTGGTTTTTCCTCTAAGAACCATATAACTCAGGATTTGTGCTAAGTACTAAAATAACCCATATCAACATGAGATTGTTAACTTAAGTGCTGCTGCTGTAAAACTACCATATGTAAGAGGAGAATGAGAGAGAATTAACTTTTAATAGTGTTTGTATAATAGTCTTCATCAGGCTAATATGGGTAATGTCTTTTTAATATATGTTCTTCTGTAGGGGGAAATTAAACTCCTCACAAGGAACTTGACTGTAAATTGTAAGTGACAAATTTTTACTCTCTTTCTTTCTCTCTTACAGACTCTGGATGGGTTTGTTTTTGTGGTAGCATCTGATGGCAAAATAATGTATATCTCAGAAACAGCTTCTGTCCATCTAGGTTTATCCCAGGTAGGAACAAGTTTATGTCCCTCTGTTGAATGCTGGTGTTTTGGTGACATACGGTGATATGAATTTGCTGGTGATATAAAGTTTCCCCTTTAATTGGTTTTAAGTGTTATTTTTTAAAAGAGTGAAATATTTCGCAATGTTTGTCCCTGTATGGAAATTGTCTTACCTTTTTTCTTATTACTTACAAATACTCAGAAACTTAAGATGTCATCTAAAAAAGTGCTGTGCTAACTGCACCGCCAAACCCACCTGGAAGCTGTGTACAGTGTGATCTGTTCATCATGTATAGCACAGGCTTTCCACTTCTAGCTGGATGCTTTTGGTAATAGCATACTATCTCTGAAAAATTATATATATACACACATACACACACACACACACGTGTGTGTGTGTGTGTGTGTGTATACAAATATATATATATTTGTAATTTCCAGCCTTTGTTTTAGACTCTATGCAGTAGTGTTAGCTGCTGTGAAAATAGAGGAAACCTGAGTTTTATAGTGAATGTGCTTTAGGAAATAATAATAATAAAAAGGGGCAGATTTATGAGTGTTCACATGGAATTCAGGGTAATTTTTCCTGAGTTTTGCCAGTCTCATGGACTTTTCAGTAAAGTGTTTTATATGCTTATGGCAGAACTCATAAAACTGGGTTTACTACTGTTCTGGTCAGGAGTTAGTAGTTTGGGTTTTCAAGCATGCTACATTTGTCCTTTTAAAAGTAACTATAGCTGTGATCCAAAGCACAATTTCTTGGGCTATATATCCATTTAAGAGCAATAGGGCTAAGTTTCAACTACACATGCTTAAAATGTGACCAGCAAACAGTACATAAAGGTGGTGGCATTTAATCCAACATTTTAAAT